ACAGTGATCAAGAGAAACTGGTTCACAGCTTGAATGAATGACTGCTGCGTGTTGCCAAAATATTTTGATTGAATGCTGATACTGGATTAAATCCATTTCCTCATACAAGCCATAGAAGTACAGAGCACACATAAAAACACATTCTAAACAGGTGGATCGTGAAGTGGGACATGTATTAGCAGCAATGCTGATCTTTTGATTGATGCCATTTGTGCCACAAACACATGCATGTGGAGTCACATCACATACATACTGTTTCCCCTCAGTTTGATGCTGTACTGATGTGCAGTCGACTGCGACTTAAGAATCATTTACTCCAACAGCAATACACCATATACATCTACAATGTGTCCATCTCTCACATTCTTCACCTCCACTTTTTCAAAGAACTAAGCCTTGTGTAAGAACCAGGTGGATTTTTTTTTTATAGCCAGTTGTTTGATAAACAAGTCTCCCTCAGTGTTACATAAGCCTTTTGTCCCCTCTGTAGAGTTTCTGGAGTGTTTCAGTACGACTTGAATTTAAGGTTGCTTGGGGAAAACCATCTCATTTATTATGCATAGAGTAAGCACAGTGTTCTTCTTACAGCCCTGCTGCGATAGAGGGAGATGGGGGGGGGGAGTAAGCACGGAAAGCAGAGCAAGAGCGGAAGAATGAGAGAGAAAAAGGAATGACAACAAGTGTTATCTTGGTTTGGTCTTGCATACAATATCAGCCTCTACATCTGCTCTTTACTACCTCAAATTTCCCTGCCTTAGTGGAGCCAGATGTAAGCTGGGAAAGCTGTGCATACGCACTGCTGATGGGAAAGGGCAAGGTGAAGGCTCAACACAGACGAAGAAGCAATTGCAAAAAGAAAAGCCTGTTACAAACCTAAGAAGTTGACATGATGATAATTAAGACGGAGCTTCACAAGCTGTTACACATGGAAAGCCGCTATCTCTCCCTCTCTCTCTCTCTGCAGTGTGCATATGAATATGAATAGAGAGCAGCTATGAAAGATGTGTAGGGAAACTTTGGTTTATTTCTGCTATAGAGCAATTCTGTGGAAGAAACAAAAGGTGGTTATGGAGCTAATATATTTGCAGATGTAAGGCTTTTCTGTTTTTCTGTGTTGTGAGTTGTGAGGTACTGGAATTACCAGTGTAATTTTAATGATCTCAGTTTAAAAGTGCTGTATGGAAAGCTTGGTTCAAAGCAAAAAAAACACAACGGATACTTTTGCCATTTTTTGATGGATGACTGACGATTCAAATACGCAATCTGTCTTTGATTTGTATCTATGATTTGTATTATATTATTGCATTTTACTCTACTGAGATAAAGATGGAACAACTATGCTGACAACCAAGGATCTCTGGTTGGGCAGCAATACCTGTGCCAAAACAGGTCCTCATTGTTGTGTAGTCACACACTTTATTCAGATTTCATACAGCAAAGCTGACTAACCGATGCACTTGATAGCAATAATTAGAAAGATAGCTATTGAACAGCTTTTGAGGAATTCTTTCTGTTTCAGAGTTTTCCTACAGGACATGTAGCAAACCAAAAGTAGACAGAACTACATAGAGTTCTGCACACAGTGTAAATGTGCTTTTTCGTCAAGACAGTGCACTGCTGAGCCAGATCAGTGTGACACGATGTCAATATTTGTCTCTATGATAAAAATGACAATACTGGTTTACTACAAACAAATGCTGTCATCCCAAATCATCAATCATCAAGGTTGTAAAAAAAATCAACTCATTTACTCAAATAGAATTCCCCCATATGCTTTATATTATGTGATAGTGTAAACAGGTTGACATAAACCAGTAGATGCATTGTTAAAAATGTATATGGATTTACAATCAAATATTACAATTACAATCAACTTCAATAGCACTTGCACCGACTTTCATCATCACTTTTTCATCAGTTTACATTTCTAATTTAAGTGAAAATCAACAGTAAATTTAAACAACAATTAATCATTATGAACAATTATCAAAATAATACAGCTCTGATGATTGTTTTTTGTAATTATATATGATAGCAATTGCTTCTCCCTTATCTTTCCTATTCATCCACACTTCTAATGCCATCTTAGAGGTGGCATCAGTAAAATCAAGTCATCAGAGTCACCCCGATCATTAGCTATTCTCCCTGAGTATCAACAACACAGATGTCCACGCAGCAGAGAGGCCTATTTAAGCATCTATCTCCAATCATTGCTAATGCTGCTGCTAGCCCTCCTCACTGGCTGACCACCCACCACCCCAGCGTTATAGTGTACATACTTATGTTATACAATTTAAGTTCATGCTGCTACTAGCATACGATGTTTGTTTTTTTTTTCTGCAAACTGTAGTTCACTGGCAAGTGAATTTCATGCATAAGCTAAAAAGCACCACATACCACATGAGGCATCATCCTACAGTGACTTTGTGTTGAGAATTGTGACTGCCAGCCCTAACTTTTTCAGAGCCCCACGTTCAGACCATCATGGATGGTATGTGCCAATAATACTGGGTTTTTATTCAACTTCTAAGTCAGTCAAGCTGCAGGGAGGTCTGCCTCAGGCATTGATCTGTTAAAATGGGGATAAAAACAAATATTTAACACAGTTGCAGATGTATAACACAATGCTGAAATTTGTTACATTTACAATCAATTAACTCTAAAATGATCTTATCTTCACCTTGGCGGAGAGTCATGTATGCGGCAGACTTTTTCTTGTAGTAGATGAATCCAGAGCTCACGATAACAAAACCAAGCATCATTCCACACAGTCCCACAACAATTTTAATCCACTCTACCACAGGAAGGGAGGGATCTAAAATTGTGAGAAAGAGAGGCTTTCATTTATGCATCGTACATTTTCTTATGATTTGTATGATTTTCAACACTGTGGCAAACTTACCCCAGACCTCAAGCGCTGGTTCAGAGAGGCTGAAGTGTTCGACCATGCAGGTAATTTTTTCTCCTGGAGACGGGGTGTACGCCATGTAGGAATGAATCTGGTAGTACCAATCCCCATCAGGCAGCACATCAGAAGAACTGATTCCTGAGGTCATTGCCTGCCCATTCTGCAACCATGTTACTCGTATTTGTTTTGGATAAAAATTATAGGCACTGCACACAAGCATGGCAGGGTGTCTATTACTAGACTTCTTCACTGATTTCAGCTTGATAGTGGGTGATGCAACTGTAATTTCATCTGAAAAAAACAAAACAAGTAATAAAAAGTAAAGTAAGAAAAGTAATTAAAAAAACAAAACATCAGTACACCTTTTCTGATTCTGCAAAAGTCTGAATATAGAGTAGAGTACAGTAGCACTCAAGGGTATAAATACCATACAATACAATACTACCAAAATATTGTAGTATTGTAATGTATTTTATGCTATATTCTGTGTACTTAAATTCTCACTTTTCATGGCAAATATTTTGACTTGTCAAAGTAGAAAAAACACAGGTGTAAGTAATACAGTTAACAATGGCTGCATAAGTTCCACCTAGACTTTTCCTGCTTTGACAAGTCAAAATGCCTGATGTGAAAAGGGTTTATTTGCACCTCAGACTTCATTTAGTGCATGCGATTTGAAGTAATCTTGAGAAGAAAATGCACTTACCAAATTTTTGGATGAATCCTATGTTGTCTGTACATAACACTTTCTTTTCAAATTCCCTCTGTATTCTATCAAGTGGATTGTTCCGATTTTTTACTATCTCTACGGAATAGGCTGTGAACCCGGTCCAGTTGCCTCTAGTGCTATTGAACTCCATCATCAATTTCTTGTTATAGAGATTCGTGACTATATACTCTACTTCTTCAAAGTCTCGATCATTGAATATACAACATGCTTGGAACTGTGAATAATTTCCATCTGAGAAAACTGTAATAAAAAGGAGAGAAATTTATTAATGTTAAATGAATTACTATAATAATCACAAAAACCTTTTTACTGGTGCATGCAAGTAGAAGAGTGATGTAACTCACCTGGACTGAAAAGAGAGAAAACCACAAAAAGCCACAAAAAAAGAAAATGAATTTGCATGTTGTCCCACGAGGAGGAAACTACAAGAACAAAGCTGCTCTGATGTGCGGCAGTCGGAGATAAATGCGGCACTGACATGTCAAGAAAATGAAAGAATGCACTCGCCCTTTTGCTCAGTTGAAACTCCCTCTCTCTATTACATTATCGACAGAAGTTAATACTGATTATTCCTGCCTGGTTGGTGTCACTGATTACAATCACTATTGTTGTTTTATGTTTCATTTATGTTTTATCAAAAATCCATTCCATGGTTTAGGATAGCAGTTCTTTGTATGAAGGATCTTCCAGTTGTAATAAAAGTTTAATAAAAGTGTGTAGCAAGACAAAAATAACACAACACCACATACAGACAAAGAAAGACACAAGCAAGAAATTGAAATGAAAAAGAAAAAGAATAAAAATAATCCGAGAGACAACAGGAAGTTGGAAATCAAACAAACTTTAAACAAAAACTGTTCAACACTGAACTGGAAATCAGCAGAGGGAGGTCAGAATGGGGAAATATGTCAATGGTGTAATAAATAAATATCTGTGAAATAAAGAGACCTTACAGTATTCCAGTTACAGATCAAACGGGTATGATCAATTTCATCCCCATAAACAAAAAATTCTACAAATATATAACTATCAGAAATGAACAGTTAGAATAATTTTCTCAAGAGAGAAAGCTCTTAGAAATTGTTCTGAGGTGGCAAAACTTTAATTCAAAACAACCTCAAAGTTCTTGGCAATAAGAAGTGGACAGCTGACTAAGCTTGCAGGTAAAGTGCTCGCAAGGTATGAGACCAAACAGGAATAACTCACACGCAGTCATTTAGCAGGAGGAAATAAGAGGTTAAATATCTTCCTCCTGGTCCACTGCTGGTTTCAGATCATGCCAGTAAGGTTTGTAAATGTTGCAAAAACTGAACTTTCTTAAAATGACTGATCACAGTGAAAATTACTGTACTTTGCCTTTATTTTCTCTCAAATGATTTCATGCAAGACACAAGTTTACATTCTTCATCCACATCCATGTTTGCTTGTTGGTCTTCAGAGTATTTTTCAGAAATATACAGTAGTGCAAAACCTTTACCAATCATCTCCACTATTAGAGGCAGCCCAACTCTGTCATGAGTCAAAGCACCTAAATGATCACTGTGATGGATTATATATCTGTAGAAGGTTTAAAATTCTGACAACGTTCAAATAGTGCTACAATGATTTGACCATATGTAAATATTGCATATACTGCAGACTCAGGCATATGACCCAAAGTAGAACCTTGTGGGACTTGTTAGAGAGAACTTGTCGATCTTCATTGTAAGGTTTGTAATTCAAGCATAACACGTTATATACACTCACATACACACAACATACATATCTATGACACAGTGGCAATCGTGTGCCTTTATTTATTAAGAAAAAATAAATGATAAAAAAATACTTCAATTAAACAAGTGACAACACAAATAAAAAAGACAAACCTGGATTATGTCACGCTTTAAAAGACAGTACAGAAGAGAATTACAATTCAGTGAATTACAGATGTGCGTGACTCAGATTGATTCATGTACATGTTTGTGTATTTTGGGCATTTTTGAGAAGGGAAAGACATGAAATGAATGTCAGTGGCTGGAAACAAACCAAGGACGATGTGATCACAATGCTGTGGCATCTATCTTAGCCACCAGCGTCCATAATGCCCTGATATTGGTTTCCTTTCACAAAAAAGAAAGTTCCTGCAGCAAATCCAAGAAGTCCAAGACTCAGGCCAAGTCCACAGAAGACGGCTGGACCAATACTAATCTCATCTGTGTCAACCTCTGGGGAATACAAGAAAAAAACTATTTTTAATCTTAAATTAAAAACCCAAACCTTGAAGTGATTTCAGAATTTATTAATTCCTTCATTTCTATCAGGCGAGTCAAGAGAAAATTAAGACACTATAATATTAAGATTCTTGGTTCTTACCCCAGAACATGGTCTGAGGCCTCTCCATTGACTCATGTTCCACAGTGCAGCTGTAGATGTCTCCTTCTTGTGGGACAAAGTTCAGGTATGAGAAAACATAAAATGTCCCATCGTGATTAGCTAAGCATTTGATGACAGGATACTCCACTGCTACTTCTATATCATTTTTGGTCCACTTTATGTTGATGCGTGGAGGAAAGAAATGGTTGATGAAGCAGATGAGAGTGTTTTCTTCCTCTTTTATCACTTCATCTCTGGGGTAGATGAGGATTTCTGGGGCCTCTGAGGGTTAAATGAACAAAGGTTAGTTTTCTTTTGCTTCTTTATGTTTTTGTAAAAACAGTATTAAATGGATGCAGTGTATTTGTCAAAAGCAGACAGTGAACGTCACCCTGTTGAGTATCAGTTACCTTTAGTCTTTGTTGCAGCTGACTCGTCTGGTTTCCATCTCTGCACATCGCTCTTGCATGCAAATTGATAATGTATTGCATATTTGTAAGCCCAGGGAACATGCAAAAACATAGGGACTCTACTATCCCAAATGACTTCTCCTTTTTTAAAGTCTACATAGTAGACTTTGTCACCATCCAGTGTCACAGATATGTGATTATCACCTGACTCAAAGCATCCTCTGCTGAGACAAAGTTCACGACTTCCTACGAAAATGTAACAATCCATAAATCAATTCAGCAACATCTGTTGATACTATGACACACATTACTAACAAGTTCATAAAAAGATTTACAAATAAACATTCATTCACACGTGTCTTTGGGTTTTTTTACATTCAAGTTAAAAGATGCAACAGAAGAGAAATAGCCATACTTACTTTGTGCATAGATGCAAACTGCACCTGAGAAAGCAAGTATAATTTTAAAGTACATATCTCTCGGTCTGCGCCGTGTTAGTGTGCAACGATAGCTGTCTTGTTCTTTGTGGTCAGTCATCAACAAATATGAGACTTATCAAGGTCGGCTGTGTTAGAAGCAACCTTCCTCATTCCTAACAAAATGGAGCACAAGGGGAAATCCACGAGACTTGTTGAATACCTTTCATTGAGAAACTTACTTAGATACTGTATCAATACTTTTTTTTTTTTTACATTTTGTATTTTATCCCATACAAATGCAGCCATTAACAGTGGCCACAGCTACTACTACCCCAACTGAGTAACAACAGGGGAAAAAAACAGTTGTAAGATAAAACATGAAGTTTTGTGTTTGGCTTCTTCCTTATGCTTTGACTCTCTTCACATCCTCATAGTTTCGCAGCTCCGTTGTGTGGCAGTTTCCTCCTTCAGAACAGTAGCAAGTCAAGATCATATTTCATATATTTCCATGTTTGTCTATTTCGATTATTAAATTGTTTTCCTATACTATATATACTATATATACTATATATAATCACTCAATTTGATGATGATGTGTTATTATAACTGAGGTCAGTTTTTTTTAACAAGACACTTCGATTTTTTATCAAGAGATTAGAGTAGTCAAAGCAAGTTCCATTTAGTTCTTTTCATTAATGACAATGTGAAAGCAGTTCTATATTTTCAAAATGATGAAAGAATAATTATGATAAATAATTTAGGCCTAGTCGTGCAGTCCTTTTTCATTTAAGTGCAGGGCACATCACAATATGGCGCGGCTAATTGGGCCTCAGACGCTGCAATCTGATCGATGGTAATGACAGAAGTAGGGTTGCTCACTGAGGTTCATGGACACTGAAACACTTCCTTTCACAGCTGGAGGCAGGAAGCTGTACAGGAGGCACCCAAGGGAGAACACTGCACAGTATGGGTAGCAGCTCAGACAGGTGAGCTAAAGCAAGAGCCATCTGTATCTACACTTGTGGGAAATGATTGTATTCATTATTATTATTTATATTAATGTACCAAAAGCAGAGCTCGGGGAAAAAATTCAACAACCAAATAGCGCTGAAAGCAGCTCTTGGAAAAAGTCCCATCACAAAAATTTGGAGAACAGAGAATAACTTCAGATCAGTGAGGTCTGCTGAAAAGCAAGAGACGCCACAAGGAGAAAGAAGAGGATCATGCTGCTGGCCACCTGCACCCATGGCACTGACTAGCTGCCTGGAAACAGTGAGTCAGAGAAAACCAGGCAGGCTCAAATACACATGAGCATTTTTTTTTTTTTTTTTTTCTTAACACAATAAGCGTTTGTGAAAACATAAAAGGAATGACATACCAGGGGAAGAATGCCGTAATCACCTCATATTCCACAAGAAGAGAGGGTTTTCGTTCCTCGGTGGGCAATATAAAAAAAAAAAAAAAAAGATTTGTCATGTAAAAGCTTGTTCCAACTACTTTCCAACTCTTTGTACACATGTTCACCCACATGAGTTAAGTCAAAGATTTTTCGCCGACTCTCTATCTTTGTTTGTTTCTCTCTGCCAATTGTCCGAGTGATGCATCTTTGTCACAGGAACCATTTTCGAAAAGGTCACGTTTACTCGTTCATGGAGATAAAGAGAGGGATTGCTTTTTGTCTTCTCTTCTTGTTTGCTGTTGCTTCAGTACAAAAACAGTAGATATTCAGTATCAGGTCCAAACACTCGATGCAGGTTTGCTCAAGCTGCTGAATTTGATGTAACTTGATGCTTTATCTGATCATTTTAATTGCAGCAGTTCTACACACTTTCATGTGTGTTCTCTATGACGCCGGTGACATTCGGAAGAAAGGAAACTGGGTGACTTGATAGGAAAGTCCTTGTGTGATTGCGTGTTTCAAAGGTCGTGTTCGGATCGACGTTAGCGCTGCATGAAAAAATGCAGTCACCTCATTCATTTAAATGACCATCCATCAGCGCAGCTGGTTGTGCTAAAGCTGAAAGCTGTGGTGGGAAAATACAGGCTTGTCCCACAAAACAGGTTGAACCAGGTTCAAAGCAATGCAATCCGGCAAAATGCTGCATTAGCCACACATTTCTGGTGGTTACTGTTTTTTTTTTGTTGTTGTTTTTTTACTGTTTATTGTAAATATTTTTTACTGTCATCAGCACAATGAAAGATACTACATGTAGTGATAACTTCCCAGAGTTGTAAAATCCTGACTTTGACTATTATAAACTATTATTTACAGTGTTTTGATGTTTGATAAGTGGGTCTGTTACTGGATCATATTTCACGCTTCAGTAGTACATCAAGCAGCACGCCCCGACTAACACAGACACTTGCTGTGTTTCAACACAGGGTTGATTTCAGTCTTAATGCCTGATGAAAGACATGAGCCACTGATTTTGAGTCACTCATCAAGGGAGATTTGCTTGTCGAATCTGAATCCTTGGCTGTTGAATCCCGTTCCAAATCTTTTCAAGCAGTTTGTTTAGTGAAGGATCAGGAAGACATCTGTTAATTAAAACTAGCCGTTTTTATTTCACTCAGTGCAGTAGCAAAACAATTTGTGTTTTTTGGTGTAACAAAAGTTAAACTTGATTTTTCTGAATTTCTTTTTCTAATCATGTTGATAACGCAATTGGTCATTTTCAGAAGCCATAAACGTGAAAATAATATATATTCTTCTTTATCATTCAAGGAAAATCAATTGAATAAATCATTGATGTGCTGAGCACTCATCTATCAAAGATGCCAGAAGTTCTTACTTGTTGGACAGAACATACTGTATTTGAACAAAGAACTCTGCAATTGTTTTGTTGCCTTTGGAACATTTAAGCCGGTCCACCATGTTTGTTGTTGACAACAGAGTTGGTGAGTTATAGTCCTTTTTTAACTTTGCTGAAGCCTGTAGTGTCAGACAGAGAGGCACAAAAGTCTAACCAAACAGAGAACATGAATGAAAGATTTGATAAGGGATTAACTGGCCACGAAGCTTAACAAATCCTGATCTTTTACCAACTGGAACCGGATCCAAAATGGAACCATCTATAGGAACACACACACACACACACACACACACACACACACACACACACACACACACACACACACACACACACACACACACGCCAGCACCAATAAAGTCATGGTAGGCACACGTAAATATAACACAGACCATCTGTTGTGTTGAAGGTTCCATTACCATATTGAAGCACTGAACTTTTTCTAGCTACATAGTCGCAGTCCCATGTTCAACAGCTGTTCACCAGATTCTCAGGTCTTTCAAAACACATTAAAAATCATTAAAAATGTGTGAATATTGTAATTTAAATACTTTAATAAGAGGTGACAATTTAAAAGATTCTCTTGCTCTGTTGTTTATTAGGAAAACCAAACAGCTGTGTGGGTCGATTGGGTTAAAATCTACTCTACACACACAGACACACACACACACACACACACAGACCCTGACACACATGTTCTTAATACGCACACACAGAGGGCCACTTCATCATCAAAGAGGATTTCTAATCAGCTGTGAGCTGCTGTTGTTCCTATAGCAACTAGGGGCACTTGTACCTGTTATTCTAGTATGCACATCATGTATCTGTGCATACACCCACATACTGTAGATGGACGTGTGTGTGTGTGTGTGTGTGTGTGTGTGTGTGTGTGTGTGTGTGTGTGTGTGTGTGTGTGTGTGTGTGTGTGTGGATGAGAAGACGACCGTTTTTGCTTTGAAGCAGCACTTTGACCCACTGTGGCGTTGGTACAGTGACTACAGAGCCATGTGTGAGAAGGTTAATGGCACATGCAAAGAGAACTGTAAGTTAAACATGTTAATCACATCTTGCTGATGATCAGGTTGGCAGCTGATTGGATTTATACCAGTGTGGTATGGAATGAACATCTCCTAGTTACCCTCTGAAAGCAAACCCTTACAAAGGATCAGGTGGTTATTATGGGGCTGGCTCACTGACTGATGGGTCAAATCTCTTTTGCTAAAGGAAACATTTTGATTTGGGGTGCATGCATTTGTTCCCCACCACGAGCAGAATAAGCCTGCTGCGATGATTAGTGTGTGCATCAGTGTGAATTTTAAAAGGACGGTAGAAAGTAATGTGCAAATGCAGATCTGAGAGTCCAAATTTAAATCTATACTGGACATTTTTGTGTTTGCAAACTGAAACTTCCAAAGCTGGAATTAATGCTCCTCCAGGCTGCGCACAGTCAAAACACGCGGGTGTCGTTTGCTTGTGTGTGTTTTTTATATATACTGGGGGGATAATAGTGTGTGATAGATGATACTGTAAATGTGTCCAGTAGGATGCAGTGTCACGTTTACCAAATCGTAGCGAAAACAAAGGAACCAGAAAACAGAAATCAATTTCACCACAATGACAGTGTAATATCTGAGAAACTAACATGAAAGAAATTGGATTTATCAACATAAATGGACTGGACAATGACAAGATGGGCAGTGAAAACTTCCCAAGAGAGGAAGATTGAAAGCTGAATGTGAGACTGACTTTCTTATTAAGATGGATGTTTTCTTGAAGTTAGAAGTTGTATTTTTAGCTCGGTAAATTTAGCAACCTCCCTGCGTGAATCAGGGTAATTTTGAAAATGGAAAATGACACGTCACTTCCTATTATCATATAGAGTCTGATTACATATACAATTCATCACTAGCCAGAGTGCACAATGTGTCCTTATACATTGTGATCACATTATAGTGTGGCATGCCCAGCTGTTCCCCTTCCCATGCTGCATCTCTCCTGACACCTGTCCCATAACTCTATTGACACATTCACAGTGTGTCAGCAGAGCTTCTATTCTCAGTAACCATTGTGTCTCCTTGTTTAGACAGGATGCTGACAGTAAATAAGGTTTAGTGGCACAGGAAGAGAGGAGGTGGGTCATGGGCAGAAATGGAGGGACAGACAATTAAGAGTTTCCTGTTCTGCTCAGGTGAATGATGTTAGCTTCCCATTAAGCTGCAGCCTGCTCTGTAGCACACAAACACGCACGCGTTGTTCACACCAGTGCTGTCGAAGC